TTAACACTAGACAGCACTCAAGAGAGCACAAACCTCCACCACGGCAGCTCACTGTCCCCATAATGCCATTCCACCTAAAAGCAATATTCCTATGATAGTGTGACTCTCAGAATATGATTCATTGACCATGAAAACCTACACATGGCATTTAGAATCACATTGATATCATTATTAGTTATTCAAGAAAAAACAGTATTTCAGTAATAGCAGTTTTCTTCAGGACCTAGTTCAGTAACTTCTGAAGATACCTCACATCTGTTGACACCCTGCTAAGTCAGCAGAGTTTCAGCTAGAATTTGATCTTAGTTGCAAGTCTGTAGCATTATTTGTTGTCTCACAGTAGTGAGTTTTCCCTGAGCCCTATAAATGTGAACATTCTGGATCACTGCATCCAGAATATTACTTGGATCCAGATCAAACTTTGGTCTGTGGTAGATTTTATATCAATGTTACTGTGCAATTTGTGTCCAAACATTGTAGGCATTATGTATGAAGTTAGAAGCATATGTAATGACACTCTGCCACTTTTTTAAAATTCTGATAGAGGAAAAAGAATATTTGCACAGCATTACACTTTTGTGAGGGCTTGAAGAGCCCATCATCACTAAAGCATATGTCCTGCAAAGGAACCAGTAAAAACAAATGGAATAGTCTAGGTTGTGATGTTAAAATTTAAGGTGTGGTGATTGATTCACATTGTCATGGTTTGGACCTCGTTTCCTGGTTTTCTGTTATGTTTTCCCGTCTCTTACTACCGTTCTGCCACGTCACTCTAATCAGTCATCATGTCATCCACCTGCCGCTCATTACCTCCCGGTTCTGCTCCCTATATATATGTGCTTCATTCCATTTGCCCCTTGCTGGTTCATTGACAATCTTGTGCTCACGTTTGCTCTTTGTTTACTTTGGGTTTAGCCAGTTTGCTTTGTCAGTCCAGATGTTTCCCTGGCTCCCTGCATTTCCTGATCAGCTGCCGGGCTTGTTCTGCTACCACCTGTCTTCTCCTCTCCTGACAAAAGATGCTACTGTTCGTCACAGCTCCATACCAGAAGTAAGGTACATCGCTGCTACAACCTGCCTTCTTCACTCTCTGTGTGAGACGCTATTCTGTGTTCCTGCTCTACACCTGAAACAAGCTACTCTGCTGCTGCTACCTGCCTTCTACACTCCATGTGTGAGACACCTCTCTTCCACTACTACTACTCTACTGTTGACTACTACTGACAACTTACCTGCACCATCAATTCCCCATGTGAGGACGCCACCTTCCTCGTCTGTCATCTGCTTCCCCTGTGCCCGAGGTTGAGCCCCATGCTCCCACACCCTGTTTCCACTAAAGTTAAGTAACCTTCTTACCTGCATTAATAGTGACTCTCCTGAATTCCCTTTGCAACTCCCTCCTGAGATTGCTGTCAGCCTTAGGTCTTCTGCTCCTGGTTCCCCTGTGCCTATTGTGCTTGGAGTCTGGTGGGTCCCCCTTCTCCTCGGTGTCTCCTGCAACAACCTTGGGCTGAGCTTCTCCCTGAATCCCTTGGCTGTCCTGGAACAGCCTCCTCCTCAACTCCTGGGTTCCCTACTCGCCTCCACCCTCTTCTGCCTCATCTCCTTCATCTGTCATTTTTGGCTGTTCCCGTTAGGGTTCGCTACAGCAAATCGTTACACTGATGACTCGCATGGTGAAGTTTGGCACACGTTTTATGCCAGATGCCCTTCCTAACACAACCCTGAATTGAACCCGGGCTACAGCAGTGAGAGCGCTGGATCCTAGCCACTAGTCCATCAGGGACATCGTTGTCATCTATTCTTAATAAAGCTTGTTACTACTTTGTTACTGGAGTGTCTGCATCCTGGGTCCCTTAGTTCCTGCTCATCCATGACACACAATGCACACTCCAGTGCACAGAATTTGCACCTGTGTTTGTCTTGTCCAATCACATCATAATGACAATGATAGTCACTTATTGGCCAAGTATGTTACACACAAGGAGTTTCTCTGGTACAGCATCGAGGCAGCCATCTGTGGCGCCAACACACAAACACTGATGGAGGTGCTGTCCCTGCAAGGTGCTGCTCTGGCCATCGGGGGACAATTTGGGGTTCAGTGTTTTGCCCAAGGGCACTGATATGTGGACCGGGAAAAACGGGAATTGAACCGCCAAGCCTTCCAGTTTATATATGGCTCATATATATTGATGTGGATGGTTCACAGTGACACAACTTAATGTTGAATACAGACCCTCTTTAGAAATGACAGAACCAAGCTCAGATCACCTCTAGCATGGACTGTGGAGACAAACATCAGATGCAACAATCCGCAGCAGAAACAGACTTTACATTTAACATTAGTGATGCTGGGATTTAAACAGACTGTTTCATCTGTGTACCTGTAAGTGAACAGCTGTAGCCTACATGGTGCAAGCAGGGTACATGATGGCCAAACATTGGCACATACTGACCAGTTGCATGTAGGGTTACCAGCTCTATTTCTCTAAGGAGTTTTTTTTTGTTTTTAAGAGTGGGAACATTCAGAGCGTCAAGTAAAGGCAGACTTTACCAAGTCCAGCAGTGACAGAGATACAGCCACAAGTTGGACAAATCTGACCTTTCATGTAATCAAAATATGAAAAAAATACACTTGGATCACAGCACTCGTCGTGCACTCTATAGGAGTCATCCTTTCAGCACCTCAGCACCACAAAACTACAAGGCAAGGCAGAAGCCTGGCAATGCAAAATCTCTACAATAAGGTAGGGATTGGCGGAGGTAATAAAAGCAGTGATTAATGCAGTTTTGAGGTCAGTTCAAAGTGAATGCAAGATGATATTTACAGTATAATGTATGGCATTATATTGATTATATCTGGAAGTGGACTGAAAGTCAAATCCACTAATTGGATATATTGTATCTTGCATGGTTATTGCTTGATGAATTGGGTCTGTGCACAGACTAACGTGCATTCAGCCTTTTTTTTTTTTTCATTTTTCAGAATCACTTGTCTTCTCTGCCAGCAGACTGCAAAAGAAAAAACAAACTGAAGCCAGCAAGTTCTGCTGCTGGCATGTGAAGTGTCACATAGCACATACTAAGGTTAAAGCTGAGTCCTTGGTGCTCTGCATGTGTTTATCACGGCAACAAAATCAGCAGCATGAGAATTTGATTTCAAATATTACATGAGTGATCAGCCTCAGCACAAAAGACAGGTAGGTTCTGTGTGGCTTGTACCTACTGTATGTGCCATAGAGAATTTTCTTGCTACGTCATTATCAAAGCATCAGCCGTTTGTATATTAAGTCCAGTCAGCTGTGCCATCAGCTGACTGGACTGTCATACGCTTGCATGCCCTCTGCAACCACTGTTATTCAAAAATCTTTCACTCCCCTTTTCTCCCTTTTAAAGGTAATGGTTCGTCAAGTGCTACGATCAAAGCTGCAGTAGGGGTGCCAGGGCTGGGGAAAGGGTTAGCACAGCGCAGAGGGGACAATGTGGTGGGGGAAGGCAAGCGGGTCGTCACCACTGCATTGCCTGAGCCCATGCCTGATGCTGCACTGGACACATCTGCTTTGGATGGAATCCACTACAGCACTTCTGGGGGATCTGGGTAAATTTGATGCCAAGAATAAAATGGTAATGAACAGTGCTGTATATCACAGGACAGTGCCAGTGTTGTCTCATAGTTGCACATATCCTAACGTTGTTACATAACCATAACAACCAGGTCAATGTGACAAGCACTGGAAACCTGGGGCATAAACACAACTGTATCCACTGGATAAAGATAGCTAACCCTGTGAAACGGTGATGATCAAACTGACTGTAACATCAGGCACAAGTAAAAATGAAGATGTACAGAATGCACTGTCTCATATATTATAGTGCAATCCCCACACACCTCAGTGTATGATTCAGAAACTGAGCTCATTATTTGTATAGATACAACAGCTGTGCAGTATCGACTTCTCTGTTTAGTTCATCACTTTTTTTTGTTGAAATCAGTTAATCTACAGTATGTCAGTGATAGCTGTCACACAGTGATGTCAAGGGTCTTGTTTTCATACCAAACCACTGTTCAATACCTTTCAGAACAATATATGTATCTTATGACTGCTGCTCAATAGCTATTGAGCAACAGTGAACAATTCCCAGTGGAAATGTGAATCCCATCTCACAAATAAACATGATTCACAGTCTAAGTGGCATTTCACTTTGAATAGCTGGCTGCTGTACATCACTGAGGGTACTGAAGGAAAAAAAAGCTACTAGTAGGTGGAGCAGACATGTAGACAAACACCATGTCAGCTCACAGTTGGAGAGCCAAGTGCTGCTTTCTGCCTTTTGGATCACCATGGAAACAACCAAATACACAACCAGCACGCTCATCAGCTCAACAATACTGCAGTCCATGTGTGATAGCAAGTTCTATGTTCCCAAAGGGTTAGGGTTGAAAATATAAAGTGGGTTTCACGGACTACACAAGTAACTGACCACAGCTATGTTTATCTAGGGTTGTCAATCAGAACTTTTTGATATGGAGAAGACAAAGGACATGAAGTGGGTGGCAGGTGTAGACAGTGCCAATAAGCATATGGATCTGCAAATGTCTAAAAAAAATCATCAAATCAAGGCATGCTATTAATAATAAATAGTCTTTGTTGCAGGAAAACATAGACTTAACTGGTATGACACCAGTTGGACAGCATCACGAATGACACAGATTGTCTTGATTCATTATTGAGACTGTGAATCACACTATGTATTAGAGTAATTCCACATACAGGGGCCTACAGCACACCACAGAACAGCAGTGAGTACTAGGGAGAGTAAATTACGCACGTTTACAACACAACACGTTTGTTGCATACAAATTCACTGGGATCATCGCCGATATGACGGGCTGCAGGCGAGCCCCGACACCGTCATGTTTCTCCGATCCAATCACTTTCCAAAAGCACTAATGGGATGACAGATGTCCAGCGTGCGTCTAGGCCCCTCTCTCCTCTTACCTGCTCTGTGCGCTTCACCCAAGCGGACCTCGGTGATGCTGCTCGGGTCACTCTGGGATCTTCCCCGCTGCAACACGCAATCCTCATCCAGTCCGTTCGATGCTGCCATGGTGAATAGGAAAGCACAATGTAGGACTGAAAGGTGTAACCACCGTCAGACAAGGTCGCCGGCATCAACTGGTGGAGCAGAATGAATGTGCTGGGACTGCCGGACTGCTGACATCTGCAGGTCCTGGTCCCCGACAAGCAGCAGCGCCGGGGAAATCCATTACGAATGAAGCATCATGCCGCCTTCAAGTGCTCCTCGTAAACCCCTAATTTAAAGATCTAAATTCGACTTGGGTTCATTAATTAAAACTCTCCCGGTATTGCCAAGGAATTTCAGACTCATATGTGTAATGCAGAGCTAATTATAATTAATTTCCCATTAATCCACAATTTTCAATAAGTTGCTGTTATCATACCACAATTATGTGACAAACACAGACTAGTATCTCTACAATATGAGTAACTGTACTGTATTGATTTGTCAAGAGAAATAGCCTAAATCAAAAACTAACATTCAAACATCTTATTTAAAAAACAAAGCTGGACACAACAATGATTCATCACTATTCTCACATTTGCAAACATGTTTGGGCTCAAAATCTGCTGTTTACTGAAGTTATGGTGTAAACAAGGCTAGAACCTTGCAAGTACACTTCTCTGTACTTGTGTTCTTGTGGATGTGTTCTTGCGGATAAGCACAGCCCAAGTACTGTTCCAATTCAGAGTCTGCATCCAGCCAAGCTAAAAACCAGAAGCGCTGTTGCTCTGCCTGTTTTATCAAAGATACTTTGGGAGTTGACTTGTGTGGACTTGGGGCAGCCAAGTATCCCAGAATGCACTGTGTGTCAGTTATAGGGGTTTGAGTCAGACAACCTCTGGCTACTCTTTGGATCCACCCATGCATTCTTGGGAGTTTGTACTGAAGGTTTGAACTTACGAAGTTCAAACTCTCAAGTACGGGAGTCCATTGGCCTACTTGGTACTGAAAAACGCCTCGTCACTCTTCACACAAAAATGCCAAATATTTCATGGTATTAGGTTCTAAAATTGTACTTTAAATTATAGTCAACTTAAATTATAGCTCCACCTCATCCAACTAACATTAGGCCTATTGTATGAGTAACAATATACTGTAGGCTATTGTTAGCTACAAAGGGAATTTTCTGCATTAATTTACCACTGATACATTTTACATTTTCTTGATGATATTATTACTTTTACTTAGTAATAATAAAAGACCTGAATACTTCACCTCCACCTCTAGCTGGCATCCTCCTGAGGGCTATTTTGCACTTTAATGCATATAAAGTTAACTCTTAAAAAGTCTTACAGCCCTGGATCCAGCCCTGGATTCTTGTCTGCTTGGTGTTGGTAGAAAATGGGGCCTGCTTAAGAACATTTACCCATTAGAGTGAGTCTAACGGATGTACTGATCTAATCTATTACCTTTAAGTAGTGCCTTTTCTTAAAATACCACTATGAGTCAACAAAGTCAGAAATATTACAGTCCTCTTTAACTACTCAGAGTTTGACACATAAAGGCATTATATGGAGGAAACTATTCAATATGTAACCCCAGGTAAAAAGTTGAGACAGTATGTAAAATCTAAATTAAAACTGAAAATAGCAATGTGTAAATCATCTGTGTCCTGTATCACATTGAAAACAATACAGCAGCACATTATTTGATGTGATACCTCATCAATTTTAATCTTTGTTCGAAATAAACACTCACTTGAATTTTGATGCCTGCAACACATTCCAAAAAAAGTTGGGATGATAAAATGTTTACCACAGTCTGATGTTGCCATTTCTTTTCACAACACTTACAAGATATTTAGGGACTGAGGACACCAAGTGATTAAATGTGTCAGGTGTCATATTGTCCCAATTCTTCTGCAACCAAGTCCCAATAGTCCTGGGTCTTTGTTGGTGCTCTTTGTGTTTCAAAATGTGCCACACATTCTCTACTGGGGACAGGTCAGGACTGCAGGCCAGCATACAGTATGCACCCTTTTCCTCCACAGCCAGGCCTTGTTAATGTGTGTAGTATGAGGTTTTGCATTGTCTTGTTGAAATATGCATGGGTATCCCTGGAAAGATGTCATCTTGAAGGAAAGGTGTTGCTCCAAAATATCTGTATTGTTCAGCATTAATGGAGCCATCACAGAAGTGTAAGTTCCCTTTGCCAAGAGCACTGACACAACCCCAGACCATGACAGACCCTGGCTTTTGGACCTGTTGCTGGTAACAGTCTGGATGGTCCTTTTCGTCTTTTGTTCATTTCTTCCAACAAAGACCTGAAATATTGATTCATCTGACCACACTACACATTTCCACTGTGTCCATCCCAGATGCCTCTGAGCCCAGAGCAGTCGACTGTGCTTCTGGACACTGTTGACATAGTGCTTCCTTTTGGCATAGTCCAGTTTTAAGTGGCATTTATGGATGTAACTACGTGCCTGATACAGGTGTTCCAAAGTAATCCTGAGCCCATGTGGTTATATCGGTTATAGAAGAGTGATGATTCCTGATGCAGTGCTGTCTGAGGGATCAGAGAGCTCGGTCATCCAGCTTAGACTTGTGTCCTTTATGCACTGAAATCCCTCCAGAATCTTTGAATCTTTTAATTATGTCCTGCACCATAGAGAGTGACATATCCAAACCCCTTCCTATCTTTCTCTGAGGAACAGTGTTTTTACACATTTCAATAATTTTCCCACACATAAGTCGGCAAACTGGTGGTCCTCAGCCCATTTTTGCTCTTAAAGGGCTCGGCCTTTCCTGGGTTAATGTTAGATTTATGTTAATGTAAAGGAAAACAAAATGATGGGGGGAGACATCACCAAAACAAGCTAAGTAAAAGTCAGGTTTACAGTGTATTCTGCGCTGATAATGTTATGTGAGGGACTCTTGCTGCTGTCATATGCTTGCATGCCCTCTGCAACCACTGTTATTCTTGTTATTCACTACATTTGACACTCAGGCCAAGGCACGCGTCACTGCTTGCTGATGTTTGGAGTGGATATTAACACATCACTTAAAGCTTAGCCTGGAGAAGACTGATCTTATATTCCTCCAGAGGAAAGGATCTTCTCACTGAGACCTGTCTGTCACCATTGCTCCTGTAAAGTTCCCCTTTACAGCATCAGGAGGACTCACCCCTTCCTCACTATGTGGGATTGTCCTGCCTAGACTACTGCAATGCCTTCCTTGCTTCAGAGCTCTGCAGTTAATCCAGAAATGTGCTGCCCACTTGGTATTTAGTCTTTCCACATTTCCCCACAGCTTTGCTTCAGTCATCACACTGGCTCCCTGTTAATGCTTGCATCAAGTTCAAAATTCTGCTGCTGACCTACAGGGTAGTAATGAGAGCTCTCCCTTCTTTCCCTCCAAGCCATGGCTTCCTCTGCCTCTGGATACCTTTACAAATTCACAGGATACAACAAGCTTAATCAAGTAGCAACCTTATAAGAATGTAAGAAAAAAATAATAATGTATTACAACCTTTGTAAGAAGCTATAGCCAACAGTGGACATATTAAAAGTTTTACAGACTATTTAAAGTACACCAAAACAAGTCTTTCTGCAGAACTACTGGTAGCACTGGGAATGTCAGAAAAGCTGGGCATCTCTTCATTGTTCTTGTATTGTAAAATAATTGTCAGCATTTGGAAATAACTAAACTTAAATGAACATGGGCATTGCAGTTCATATTGTCTGATTGTATCTACAGAAAGAACTAGGCCAAGCAGAAATTTATCAAGTAACTGTTAAACAAATGTTTCCAGATACATAACTGAAGAGTATACAGTAGATGCGCTGAGAGCTGTCTTCTCTCTTCACAGATAAATTCCTTTGTGATGGTGTTCTAAAGCATATACATGTTCAGAGCTGTCATATTTAAAACAATGAATGAAATATGAGACAGGTATGTTTAGTTCCTCACTCACAGATTAGCTACAGTATGTGAAGTACACTACCAGTCAAAAGACTGGGCACACTTTCCCAATGGGAAAATACCTTAATTACATTTACTACTACATTTCCCAGTAAAATACCAGGTTTAACAAGGTATTTGGTGGTGTAAAATGAGACAAAATACCACATTTGTTTTGATTTGTATGAATTCTTGGCTGGAACTCCAGCAAGCTATTCAAACAGCAGAGACACCTGGAAAGAACTGGTCAGGCCATCAGATATTTTTCTACCTTGATGATCAGATAAAGGAGATACAGTATACTAGCCTTAATAACACAATATGGGAATGTGAACATTTGTCAAAAGAATGGAAACACTCAGTGGTTGTTCCCATACTGAAACCTGGGAAAGCAGCAAATTAACTCAGTTGTACTTACAGCCATATTTTGCATAATAATGAAATGTGTGAGGTGGATTGTTTGAGAAACAGGGGTATTTTGTGCCTTATCAGAGTGCTTAGGGGTTGGATGATCCACTATGGCCTATAGTAGTGTTATGCTTGGATATCAGGAAAGCTTTAATAAGTACAGCAGAGAAATGTTGTGCCCGGTACTTTTTACCATACTGACTCTGAGAGACGAGGCAGTCCAAGTAACTACAAAACAGTGCTGATTTATTTCATGAACACAGGTAAAAATTAACATTACACGCTCAGGCATCTTGCACCTCAAAACTGCACGCAGGCAGATGTAAGATGAAAGACCCTGAACCAAACCAGGCCTATACATTATATCCCCTCGGTTGGGCTAGCCCCATACTACACAGAAACGTCAACCAAGACGTCTCTGTTGCCAGCTTTGCAGCTGGCCATAGCAGTAGTCACCACATGAAGCAAATCAATGTGCATGTGTGTGTCTGTTGATTAAGTGGTGTGTAGCTAAAAACATTCTCACACGACCTCTATTGATATGTGATGACATTAAACATAAGAAAATATTATGGCTAAGGCTACAGTTCTACACGTCATAATAATAATAATATTAAACATCCTGTCTGCTGACAGTCATCAACTCTTCTCTCTAGTTATCCTTGACCAGATGTACCCTGTAGAAACTCATAAGCATGACTAAGCATTTAACAGTCTGACCAGACATCCTGTCTCCCTAAACATTTCTAATACATACAAGTACCTAACCAATATCTATCTGACTAAAGATACCTAACAGAGAGTATTTCGTAATGTGATATACTGGAGAAGGAGGGTTCAATAATAAGTCTGTATGGTGCTGGGCTATGAGGATATGAGGATGATGCTGAACTGGATTTGGGGTGGGGGTTGTTTGTTTGTTTTTGAGAGAGAGAGAGAGAGAGAGAACTTGCTATTCAAGTACGAGTAGGTGGTGCTATACCCAGTCAAGAAAACACCTGTCAGGGACCTGACTGAGCAGCAGCTGGTGGCAGTCCCGTGGCCAGTTTGGTGAGTTGGATACATTTAGGTCAGGAATGTAGATTATATGTTCAGATCTACTGGAGCACCAATGGCACTGAAGAGTGGGCTCAGGCCAGGTCTAATGGTGGAGGTGTTGATTGTTTCAGTTTAAGCTATTTGGAAAAACTGTGGTGTTCACCTGAGTGTCGTCTCACAAGGTAGCAGAGAGGAATGAAGTACAAGACAACAAAGACAAGAATGCAGAAAGTACCACCAACAGTCAGTTTTGATTTTATTTATATAACCCAACTGAACATAACAGAAAAGATGAAAATCCTTTGTGTCCATTAAGGATGAAAATGTTATGCCAAAAAGAATAGAAGAACCTTGTCTAACTAGGTTGACCTGTGGAGGGCAGCATTGTGCTTTTGATGCGTCCAGTCTGCTGCAACCAGAAGAAGAAGAAGACGAGCACAGACGTTGCCAAAACAAACATGGCGGAAGGAGAACCACCTGCAGTCCCCGGTGTTAACGGGTCAATACATATTTGTGATTTTCCAGGGGGAACAGAGTCACCGGAATCACATGAGGAAGAAAGCTCGCAGTCTTCTGCAGCGCAGTATAACCAGGACCTCAAAAGTGTTCTGGTCACCAGCGTTTTAAACTTGGAAGAGCTCGACGTAGACCTGTACAGGTAGGTTTGAAAAGGCTGAAGTTTGTCTCTTTACGCTTGCATACGGTGGCAGATCAGAAATGGTTAGTGTTAAGTTATATCCCAGGACTCATGAGTTTATTCTCTGAGAAGTGACGTCGGTTTTCCGTAGATGCGTATCCCCTGGTCGTGAGCTCAACCCAATCTTTACCCTGTTTGATTCAAACTTTACTCTTAACCAGTTAACCTTTTGATGCATTCTCCCGAGTTTCGGGATCTAGGGTTAGATATTAGGGTTAGGGTTACAGAAATGCCACGTTTAAGTCCCTTTAAACGTCAGTGTCGTAATTATGACTGGGAATGGGTAGGTCCAAAAAAGAAGGGAATTTAACGTATTAATCTACTTAAATAATATAACTTTCATTGCATGAAAAGTGAACAAATACAGATTCCTGGCAGCAGCCAATGACCGTCATTCGTTTAATGGGTGTTCTTCAAGTGCTGTAAGTTTATTATGAACTCAGACATTTCGAGGTTTGAATGTTTGTGAAACAGTGGTCAGTTAGCTAGCTGGGTAACTACTAGTGTTATTTTTTGGTTAAAAGTTCGACACTGGATTATGGGTTTGAATGATAAAGCAAGGCCAATTTCATGAATCACATGGCATTGCCATCCTCTACACTGTGACACAATACCAAGTCTTTCCAGGGGGAAATAATATAGGTCTTCCAAGCAGGGTTCACTTTCCAGTGTTAAAATTTTTATTTGCATTAATTTGCGTAGAGGGGCACCCAACAATTTCATAATGAAAAGTCCCCCATCACTGTCAAAGCTACATATGTAGGCCTCATCCTGTGACACTGTGTTACATAGATTTCAGTTGTTTCTCTGTTTTTCCCCAGAGGGACTCACCACTGGGTGCCACGCAGTCAGCGTTTGTTTGGAGGTCAAATAATTGGTCAGGCCCTTGTTGCTGCTGCCAAGTCTGTCAGTGATAATCACTACGCCCACTCTCTCCACTGCTACTTTGTGCGAGCAGGTAAGATGTAGCGTCATTTTAAATGTGTTGGCCCGCCAGAGTGTAATGCAGTCATTACAGGGGCACATATAGTAGTTAATGCAAATTATCTTTGTTAGAATGAATACAACTACAGTATTTAAAGTGCCCCATGTGTTTTACTGTACAGTTAGTTTTATCAGCTTTTTGGAACAGAAGCGCTTTTTGGATGTTTTTCAGGGGATCCTAAGGTTCCAGTGCTGTACCAAGTAGACCGCACAAGAGATGGTCGCAGTTTCACAGTGCGCTCTGTGAAGGCCATTCAGCATGGACAGCCAATACTGATCTGCCAGGCATCCTTCCACATGCTACAGCCAAGTCCCCTGCAGCACCAGTTCACCATGCCGGTGGTCCCCCCACCTGAAGACCTGCTCACTGTGGAGGAGCTTATTCGTCTTTATTTGAGGTACAGTAACCATTCATTTTATTAATGACAAAGCAACAGTAACAAGGGAGTTTCAAGGATAAATTGTACTTGCATAACAACGCATACATGCAGTAATTTGTACACTGGGGTAAGACAGGGTGATTACAAAATGTGAGTTTGATTTATTGTGTATATATTAGTCATTTTACCCAAATCACAAAAATTATATATTTTTACATTTAACCACCAATGGTTTCAATACAGTAAATGGAAAGATGCAGATGTGAAAGTATAGGGCAGTGTAATAAATGTAACAGAATAGTGAGCTTATTGGGAAAGTGTAAATGGTCTTATGGTCCGTGCAAATTCTCAGTCATCCAGGTCATAGTATGCTGAAAAAACTGCAGCTGGACCAGGATGAGACCATGGTCTCATACGATGTCACGTCCTTGTTCACATGCATCCCCACCACAGAGGCAGTCATGGTGGTGAAGAAGAAACTGCTGAAGGATGACATGCTGATCAGCAGGACTATCCTCACCCCGAACCAAATATGCACCCTTCTGGAACTCTGTTTAAACACTACCTACTTCCAGTTTAAGGGTTACTTCTATAGGCACAAACACGGTTGTGCTTTGGGCTCCCCTGTGTCTCCAATAGCTGCTAACCTGTACTTGTAAGAATTTGAGGACAAAGCCCTGTCTTCCTTCACTGGCATCGCTCCCAGTCACTGGTTCCGCTACGTGGATGACACATGGGTTAAAATCAGAATCCAGGTATTTCCCTGTAATAAACTCCTCAGCTGTTTAGGAGTCTGATGGCAGAGGGAAAGAAAGAGTTTTTCAGTCTAGAGGTCCTGCATTTCACACTTCTGAACCTCCGGCCAGAGGGTAGGGAGGCGAACAGTCCGTGCTGGGGGTGGGTGGGATCTTTGAGGATGGAGTCATCAGAACTCTAAATCACAGGGCCGAGGAAGTGCCCACAACTGCAGAAGGGGCCAAGAAGGAGAAACTACACATCCAGAACTCCCTTAAGGTTTGTGGATACTAAAGGCTGAAAACCATTATAAAGCCTCATCCGGTTCTTTCAAACCAGGAACTCCGAGGGATGACTCAGACCACTTGAGTATATAAAAAAATATAACCGTGCTGGTTTATTCAAAGAGTCACAGGCAAGAATTAACACTTCCAGTCCAGAGATCTTCCAACCCCCAGGCTGCCCAAGCAGCCCGGAAGCAGAAAAGACCCCGA